AACGCCTTCGAAGAAAAACCAGAAAGTCCAGTTGCCTCTTGAAAAAGGACCACCTTTGGGACAACCGTGACCCAATAATGATGGAGAATCACTATAGACAGCGGTATTTGGACCTGTTCTGCCGAGTCCCAGCCTAGCATCAATACACCACACTGTCTCTGTTTTTGTACCTGCCTGTAAAACACCAGATAACAAAAAAACATTCAGCATTAGCTGGCTGACCAGCCTGGCCTCTCCCCCCGTCCAAAGCACCTTGTTCCAGAAATCTTGGTGGTTGTTTGAAAGAGAGGCCCTCAACCATCCCTGGGAAATATTCGGTGCTCTGCATGTGGTTCGAAAACCATGGTGATGTCACAGATATGGAATGTCTGTCAGGCAGGACTGACCTGCCGCTCTTTCCAAGGGGCAATTAAGCAACTCCTCAAAGTGTTTGGCTTCGTGTTTCTCAATGTCCTTCAAGGAACGCGGTTCTTGTAAAATGGAAGGGAAATATTGTCTGCCTTTGAGTGCTGTATAATCTTGCAATTAACATGTAATTTATTAGCTGGGGCTAATTTAATAAGTGCTATTTATAGTACATTATAGGTCAATATGGTTATGTGATCTCTTTTTTTTTGCTTTACAACTGCATCACTTAGTGACGGAGCTGCCAGTCCCAACCGCAGTGATTAACTGAGGAAAATCTCTAGATGGCATTCATGTTTGACAGATTTAAGCAAAATTCTGTTGGGGGGATTTACAAATGCACATGGAACATTTTAAGCATTTTTATTAAGCACAGCTTCTGCAGTGCAGCATTCATTCTAGGCTGCCTTAAATTATGTAGGGTTTCCTGCTTGAGCGGGGTGGGTGGGTGGGTGTTGGACTAGAAGACCTCCAAGGTCCCTTCCAACTGTCTTATTCTGTTACATTGGGAGGTTGTTTGAAAAAGGGCCGACTAGTTGAATCAACCATTTGATCCCTCTAAGCTGAGTACTATATCTATTCCACAGTCAACCAGGGAGGGTCCCCTCCAAGCGTTTGATTACGACTGTTCCCCCTTGGGTGGGTTTAGCCAATGAGGAGAGAGAGTGGAAGCTGCCATCTGACTCATCTTCCACGCTAGTCAACTGGCCGAAGCTCGGAGGGCCAGCCCACCATTTCATCCAAGTTTTGCTACCTGGCACCTTTGAATTAACTGATTTAATTAGAGACCTTCCTCAGAGCAAGACATTACTTCCCTCATTCCATCAGTGAGCCTATTCCTCCCTAAGGTCTCTGGCAGTCTATAGGAACACAATGTAGGAATGTAAACAGAGGAGCTTTCCATCTTCAGTTTCTGCCAAGAACGGGAGAAAAGTTGGAACAGGACAACGGTGCATCTTTACCTTCTTCCTCTTCCAAGCCTTCCATAATTGTTATCTAACAAGGAACTAAATTCAGACTGGAAGTTTAAAGAGAGGCAGGTAAGAATAGAAAGAGTGCACTTCTCAGTCTCCTACCTGTCTTGGATTGTGCATCTGGGGCTGTAATCTCAACGATTAAATTCTCTAAAGCCGTCCCCCGTTGGTTCATTTCCTCCACAAGAATCCTCTTTGCTAGCCATTCTTCCACAAAGACCTGAAGACAGAACAGAGAACACGTAAGAACGTGGCCACTGGCGGATGAACAGGTCCCAAGACTCCATGGCCATTTGACACATTCAACATTCCTTCCCGTAATTATTTTGCCTTCTGTTACATTAAAAATGACCACCATATTTGGGGGAAATTCTGAGGCTACTCTAAAGGTTTTGAGAGCTGCATACGGTCCTGCCCCCCCCACCATTTTATTCTTTCAGTTTCTTAGCAGGCCAGCCTTTTTGGCAACAGCCAGCCTGCTCCCTCCCTCTGAGTAAGCCCTGAGTAAGCAGGGCATCTGGGCAGCCACCCTCTATTACCTTTGGCCACACAAGACGCGGTGGGCAAGAGGCCTGTGGCTGCAGGGTACACCATGACAATGAAAGTGTCCACTCACTTCCAACATGACTACAAATCTGTTTGGAGATAATCAGCAAAGAGGGTGGGAGGAGGGGCAGGTGGCTGCCTACCAGGAGGTGGAACCGCACACGAGGTAGACTTTGCCACCATCACTTTGGGATTTCACCTTTCGAAGAGCTTTTTGCACAAAGTAGCAGTTCCTTGTCAGGATAACTGCCAAAATACAGTGATAAAGCCACGTCCTCAGGGGTGGGATTCAGCCAGTTCGGGCCGGTTCGAGCGAACTGGACATTAATTTTACATCCAGTTGGACGAACTGGTAGTTCCAAAGACCAGCTGGCCCAGCTCCTCCCAGGAGTCCCCACGTGCCGGGTTCTGGCTCCCAGGTAAGTGCAGGGACGCCTCCTAGATCCAAAATGGGGCATGGGGGTGTGTGGTGCACCCCCCACGCCATGTTTTGGCTCCCAGGAGGCTCCAGGGAGGCTTCCTAAGCCCAAAACCGGGCACGGGGGGAGGTGCGAAGAAAGAGAGAGAGAGAGAGAGAGAGAGAGAAAGAAAGAAAGAGAAGGAAGGGAGAAAGAGGGAAGGGAAGGGAAAGTGAATGAGATATGGAGGGAGGGAGGGAAAAAGGACTATAAACCCTGGCACTAGACACAGCTTCAGAGGATGCTTTGAAACAGCAAAGCAATCCAGGGCTGGAAGGGACCTCGGAGGTCATCTAGTCCAACCCCCTGCTCCAAGAGCATCGTTAAAGTGAGATTATCTCTTTTGACCCACCCAGCCACATGACCACATAGCCACGCCCACAGAAGTGGCGGTAAAAAAATTTGAATCCCACCCCTGTCGGCGTCTTCCACTTTTTTCACGAGTTTGCTTATAAAATGGCTTCTGGACGCCTTTCTCCCCTGCCCACCTCTGTTTGCTGCCTCCGCTTCTCCAACTCCTGTGTGCCCAAAGACGTCTCAGGAGCTGGGATATTCCTCTCTGTTTCCTCCAGCCACTGCCTGAGCGACCCAACCAGTTTTCGGAATACATCCAACTGTTCTTGACAAGACGAAGCTCCTTTTTCCCTGGGAATGGATTAAAAAAGGGGTAGGGGGCTGTGAAGTACTTACTTACTATCTGGCAAGCACAATCACAGCCAGAGGAGGAAGGGGAAGCCACGCCCGATGCCTCTTGTAAGCCAGTGGACAGAGGGACTTTGTCCCTGTCCGCCACAAGGACCTACTGGACCCATTGATCCACCTAGTTGCTATGAGCCATGCAAAATTGGCAAACTGGCATTCTGAGTATTTGGGCTGGTTATGAATTCTGTATGTGGGAAAGCATTTTGAGATGCATCTATGAACTGGGTACATGCAAGTCACAGAGGATGCTGCCATCCACTTATAGCCTGGAAAACACTTCCTCACAGGAGTAAGAGCCATATCTTTCATATCTTCTTTTTCTCTCCAATGCAGTTTTAGATAAGCTGGGTGCAGACTGAAGGATTATAGACCTTTACTCCTTTAACCATTTGTTTTACTTACCTGGGTCAATTATAAATGCCACAATTAATTACATGAATATTTTGAACAACCTCAATAATAAAAGATTGATTCGTCTGTTTCATTCAGTCTTCTTAGTAAATTGCAGTGGCAAATAGAGGAAAGAAGCATCCTGCAATCAATTATACCTACACCAATTCCTAATCTGGCTGTGCAATCTTTCAGACCTGATTCCAGAACGGTCTTTCAGTGTACAAGGGAATAGCAACGTAGTACATGTACGTAGCTCTTTAAAGTAGTTGTGACTTTTTCCAGGATTTCCCAATGCCAAATAATCTGAGGAAAAGATCTGCCTTCTTTAAAGATGCTATAGTTGCACCTCAAATCACCATTTCTGGAACTGAATCCGAAGCAGCTGGAAAAGCCCTCTTGTTCCAAGATTCTTAAGCAATTAGAACTGTGAGCACAGCACATACATTCTGGATAACCCAATCTGAATCAACATTATTATTATTATTGAGAGCCGTGGTTGTAACAAATAAATAATTCAAGCTAAATAAAAAAGCATTTAAAATACATTGGTAGATCTCCGTGTAAAACTATACATGATAGAATATATTTCCTTCCAGCAAAATAAAAACTACAATTTAGGGGAGGGTTGAAGCATTATAAAGATCTTTTTTTGTGAAAGGTGAAAATTGTCAGTTGATGGCAGGGTTGTCAAACTCAAGTCCTGGGGGTCGGATCAGGCCTGCGGGGTACTTAGATCTGGACCGCGGTGCCTCTGCCAGCAAAAATGGGGCCCGTGAAGAATGTGGGCCTTTTCACTGACCGAGTGCTGGCAAAACAAACTACTGGCCAAAGTGGCATTTGATCACACGAGTGACATCGAACTGGCCCTGCCCCTCCTCCGCCCCCCCCCCCCCCAGGTCACATACAACCCTGATGCAGCCCTCAGTGAAACACCCCGATGTATGGAATTGTGTCTACCAGCACATAAATTACACATGCACATAATAAATGGGGCAGAGAAGAAGGTAATATTTATTTCTTAAACTTACATGCCCCCCTGGCCCCCCACCCCATTCTGCAAAGTGACTCTGAGCAGCTAATATTTGTTGTCTTTTAAAGACAACCATCCTCTGCAGCACCAAAGGGCCACCTGAATGGCTGAGAGGAAATAAGAGTCTTTTATGTGGCTGGGTAGCCTCCCCTGAGAAGGAGAGCACACACCTCGTATAAAGGGCGCAGGGGGTATCGTGGAGATGGAGCCAAATGTTAAGCTTTGAACCCGTTTCACTTGTTCCAGAAGCAGAAAGTTGCAGGTTTCCCCCGCTGCTCTCTTCACAGGCGAGGGACGTGTGAACGGAGCATAAAACGAAGTGGGAGTGCTCCTCCCCGTTATGCCAGTGGCAGGTTTTGTCTGCTCTGCCTGCTTTGGGAGAAGTTTACCAAGCTTCAGAAGACAATTCAAGAGAGGGGATGGGGAGAGGCTGAAGAGAAGGCCGTTTTTATCCCCTTGGCTCCGGGAATCCCAGACTTATGACTGTAGGGGAGCCTGGAATTTCTGTTGTGTATCGTGATGGTCATTTGTCAAGGTGTCCATGTGACTGACACAATTTTTTATGACCTTTTTGTGGCAGTTCTCAAGCAGATGTAACAGTTGTAGAATGAACACTGCAGTCATTAAGCAAACCTCCTGTCTGGGTATAAGATAGCATTGAATTGTTTTAAGGCTTTGTTCAGACATTATCCTAAGATAAAGATCCCCGGACATTCAGGAAGCGAAAGGGAGGCCTTTTGTCCCCTTTGCTGAACTCAAATAGCCTCCCAGGCATCATTTTTATTCTTATTGCATAGTTAACTTTATTCCTCATGGCAATGGCCCACAATAGGGGCAAGCATCTTCTTCACCCTAACTTCAAAAACAGTATTCTGGAGAGGAGGAGATCGTTTGTCCTCTTAGCCTTCACTTCTCTGCCTCCATCCTTTTCCCAGCTGAAAGCAATCTGGATGCAATCAAAGAATTACAATGATTTAATCCCCCACAAATTTCCTCTGCAAGGCTCCTACCACCCCTCTGGCTGGGAGAACTCCTTCTCACCTGTCCTTTGTGGCTTTCTGCAGCTGAGTGAACTCTTTCCGCAAACTGTGCACCTTCTCTTGGTGTGAGGAGAAGCCAGTCCACACCAACCCACAAGAACTTAACTCCGTGGTTAAATGTTCCAGGTTGTCCAGATCCTCATGACGCTGCGTCATCTCGGAATTCAGTTCCTGGAAGCATCAGGAAACAGGGGTGGGGGGACACAGGACAGATAGGGTTGAAGTGAAGAGCACCTATGACTCGGTCCAAAACGTCAAGACCCTCCTGGTCCCTGGAAGTCATGAAGGACAGCAGTAGCAATCCCTGCATACAAATCATGTCAGGTAAGGACAACGGAGATGACTGGTCTCCGAAGGCAACTGGATTAGGGCTGTGAAACACCTGGGATCCAGTCCCCAAAGAGGCTGGGGAGCACCTCCCTGGAACACCTTGCACTGATTCCTGGGATTCCCAACAAGGTCATTCTTGATCATCCTTGATCCCGATCATCCTTTGATATGAATTTGAACTTTAAAATTACAATTATGGATAGATTACCCGCAAATGTATGCGGGCAAAGCCTGTCCTGAAAAAGAATATGCAAATGCAAAATCCCCGCTGGGCAACTGCAGCGCCCAGAGCTCTTTATCTTTTGACCTACAAGAATTCTGCTCTGCCACCTCTCACCTCTTCAGCTTCACTGGAAACCTCCTGCACTTCCTTCACCTCATCTCTGCAAACTGACTGACCAGCAGGTGGACAAGAGCCAGGAAGAAGAATCCTGCAGCCAAACTGCATTCGGGGGGCCCTGGGTAACCCAGCAGAAGGTGGTTTATGGAGGCCTCCTCCCTTGGCAGGAAGTTTTAGGGTGGAAAGCCAGAGGAGCTTTAGTCCAAGCGCTTTCCCAAAAGGAACGTGGTGCATAAATGTGTTCCTTTATTCAGTTTGCATGGCTTGTTGGAGGGATTTTTTGCCCCTCCTCTTTCCCTGGTTGGAGCCTGCTAGCTCTAACAAAACCCCAACGCCAAAAGCCCAGGGACCAGAAACCAGGCGCGCCCCCCAGTCCTGAGCCTGGCCCCACCTTGCTCAGCAGCTTCTCACCTGGATCTGCTGGGCGAAGTGAACAATGTCCTGCTCGGGTTGGTTTCCCAAGGCCAGCATCCGCCCTCGGCTCTCCAGGAATTGTTTCAGCTTCTCTGAGAGCTGCTCGTACTGTTCCACCTGGGGCAGGATCTTCTTCCAGGTGTCTTCCTTCTCTTGCTGCTGCTGCCACAGGTGGCTGAAGCGCTGGGTCACGTCTGCCAGTTTGGTCTGGAGGGCGGCAGCGGTGGTGCTGTCGGCGCTTTCCATGAACCGGGTCACCATTTCACGAGTGGCTTCCAGGCTGCTCTTTTGCCTGGCAATGTCTTGCTTGAGCTTCTGCAACAGGAAGGACGCACATATTGGGCTCAGGAGAGCGGCCTGCCGCCTGGGAGAAGAGGAGCCCTGGATTCTGGGCCAGCCTTTCTTTTAACAAGCGGGAGCTGAGGCTGTCTCACAGATCAAAGGAAATCCGGGGTGTTCTCTTTTTATCCCTCTGGGATAAAGTACAGTGCAGCCGCCACCGCCGCATAGGGCCACCTGCTTCTGCTTGGACTGGGGCCTTTTCACAAGCTCTTCCCCAATATCCCCCTCAAGGCTCAGCTCAATGCCAAGAGCCTGGCTGGCTGCTCTTTACGGCTGCAAAAGATGCAGGTCCTTTGAGATTGAAGGCTGGATAGAAGCAACTCAGAAGTTTGGAATCATTCCAGATTCCGGCTCTCCCTGCAGGAAGGAACTCTGCTTTTTGGCTAATGAACTTTGGGAGATACTATTTTATTCATCACTCCTTTCTGGAGACTTTGCGTGAGAAGTGTCCCAATTTACTCCTAAGTAGCCACATGTTCTATATTCTACATTCAGCTGGATCTCCATTTTGATCTCAGATGCTCAGGCTGCTCATTATGGCTGTCCACCAACTGAAATAACACTCTGCACATACTCAAGGAGTGGCTTTTATCACCCATCCGGTGCCATACAGCAAATCTTTGTACCGAAAGCAACAACTATGGTTTTCATATCATTTTCATTTTCAAAATTGGATTTGGGTAAAATAATAATGATAAAGACAAGGAAACGCCAGGTTATTCAGAAACATTTTCAGTGTTCAAAAAATCCCCATCTTTTTAAAATTATGGAGCAAGACCACAGTCAGAAATCTAAGTGAAATATCTTACTGTGTTTGTAGCGAGTGCCTCCTGGATGGAAAGGGAGGAAAATGCAGACCCATCCTCCCCTTTGAGAGTTTCCTCAGTCTCAGCCATGGACTGAAGGAGGCTCTCCAGCGCCTCTTGGACACTCTGGGACTGAGCAATGGACTTCTGCAAAAGATCCGAGCGCTCGGCCATCCGACAGGAAAGGCTCTGAAATCGGCTCATAATGGAATCTGTGCAAGAGTCAAATGAAATACAGCGGGAAATTCCAATGGCCCCCAAAATGCAGAACTTTGGAACCAAAGCATTCAAGACTCTCTAGCATTATCAGAAACTGCCCAAGAGGCTCAGAAGGGGCTTAAGGCTGTAAATACTCCGGGGGGGGGGGGCCCCCCTCCCCCCCTTTATTCCCCCCCCCCCCGCCGCCCCTTAACCCTTGATCATGCTGAATAGACTTGAAGTGCCCCAGGTTGGCACAGCTTCCTTAGACACCCCCCCCCCCCCGCCCCCGCTTTACCTGTGGTCTGCTGGATGCCTCTGTGGTCAGGAACTGGGGCTTCCCTTATTTCCAGGAGGGACCGAGCAGCTTTTTCAAGCTTTTCTACAGGCACCTGATGCTCTGCAAGGTCCTCCTGCAGGTGCTGTTGGAAGCAACGAGAAGGAGGCAGGAATCAACGCAGGAAGAAATACTAGAACTGGACTAAAGGAGTCAAAGTCTTCAGAAAGAGGTTCTGAGGGTCAAGCCTAGGTAGAACCCCCCGCCCCCGAAACGCACAGTTATCAATCAATCTATCCAATGTTTATTGTCAATGCTCAACATGCGTACAATGAAACTGAAACTATTCCTGGTTTTCCTTCACCCGCTAGAGCCCGTTACGTAAGGCAGGAGGTGAGGGGAAGGTGCCAATTCCCAGCTGACGGCCTCGTTCCATTGAGGCTCCCCTGAGAGAAGGTTTCCCCCCCCCCAACAAAGGCAGGCTCATGTGGGTGTGGCCCAGCCTTTTCTAGCGGAAACTACAGGTAAAAAGTCTGCAAAAGGTTAAAGCCAAGGAGTAAGTGTACTTGCTGGCTTACTTTGGTGTTAGCCAGCTGCCTTTGCAAAATGGCCGGATCAGAGGAAATGGGCTCCACCAGGAGGAGGGTCACAGCCTCTTCGCTCTCTTGCAGCCACGACCGGAGAGATTCTGCTACATCTTGGAACTGCCGAGAGCGATCCAGCAGGAGGTTCAGGTGGAGGCCAAGGGCAGAGCACTGCAAACAGGAGAAAAGGCTCAGTGGGACTTTTCTAAAGATACTCCCCCTCTCCCCCAAGAACACTTTTTCTGTTTCCAGGGACAAGGCCCGACATGAACTGAGGTGCTCGCCTTTCCCAGCGGTCTCAGAGAAATCCGCCGAAAAACCATTAGGCTGCTGCCTCACCATGGAGGCTCACAATTTTAAAACAATGTTATTAAAGATTAGAATTACAACAGTAAAAATTAATACAAAGAAAAAAGAATAAAAAGAAAAAGGAGAAAGAGTAAAAGTAGAATAAAGAAAAAGAAATGAGATATATAAAGAAATGATTTCCTATCTAGTAATTTATCACTTCTTAAAAGACAACAATCTCTTCTTCCCATATTCCATCTCTTATCTATAAACAAAGCCAGAAAAAAATGTCATTTTAGCCCAGTCCATTGAGGGCTATTAGAGATTACAACAGATCTATGTTAATCTTGTTCAGATGAATCAATGTTACAGTCCCTCTTTTTATTGTAAGTATCTTTAGTCCCTTCAAATAATGTTATAGAACTTGATTTGTTTTCATTTTTGTTTTATCCCTTCTCAGGGGACTCTTCAAAACTTTAACAAACCTCTTTTGTAAATCCAACATAAGAAAATTACATAATTATCATTCTTGGTTTATTGTTTGTATATTCCTTTTAATTATTAACATATCTGCCAATTTTTGTATGATCATTTCTGTCATATTTGTAGCCTATCATTTGTACATCCGCTTTTAACTCAGTCTTGATCTTGTCAGGTGCACTATGTAATCCTTTTCTTTATCCTCTTTTAGGCAGTCTGCCCATAAAGGCAGATGTCTCTCTTGACACTAAAAATTAACTTCTAAGTCTATTGTTCAAAAATCTCCTTCAATGCATCCAATGTTAGAATGTTTTGCTTCATTCTGTAACTGTAAGTCAAGTTTATGTGTTCTTCTCCTTTAATTGTAATTTTTAATTCCCTCTAGTCTAATGTCTTAATTTTTAAAATCTTTTTTGAAAAAAACAACAACCAATTTTTCCACAGAATTCTTTACCAATTCCAAAATCTTATTTCCAATTTATCTGAAGCCTTAGTCCATCTGTAATTTTCCCAAAATTGTCTTTTTGCAGTTTATTAAAAATATTTTAAAGTCAAACTTGTAATTAAAATGTTCTTTAACTCCTAAGGGCTAAAGGAAACTTGCCCTGTGGTGTCAAATCTGTCAAACTAAAGGTGGTTAATAGCTAAAAAGCAGTTAACATGAAATTTTTGAGAAGAAAGAAAAGTAAGCAAACTTGGGGTTCTTTCAAAGCCGCTGACAGTGGTTTGAGCAAAATGATTATTCCCTCATCTCCGAGAGCTCTAAGCCTACCAGAGACTCCTATCTTGCAGTTCCCTCACAAGGAATAGCTGTCTGGACTCTGGAGCACATAGCGGTGATCTCAAGTTCTCTCCTTGCCCAGAGAAGACCGATAAAGAGCCGGCTCTTTATTCTGCTACAGCTCCATTGCTGGCTCAGCTTTTAACGGAGCTGCCTTTGGCTGCCATTTCTTCCTTCGAAAGCCTCTCAATGGAACTTTGCAAAATATAGGATCAATAAAGATCCTGGGCTGGCATAGCAGAAGCTTTTATGCAAGAAAGTTTGCTCAGTTGCTTCTGAAGTCTTAACATGCAGTTTTTCTTTGTAACTCTAAGATGCACGTGTAGTCTGGAAAAAAGGGGGGAAAAAACCAGAAAATGATGGCACAAAAGTTAAGTTGCTGGTCCTCAACATTCTTCATGGTCCTTAGCTTTTAGGTAAGAAAAGAGGGATGGAGGGAGACCAGCTGCCCTTCGCCTGCTTGAATACGTCCCTTCCAGGATTTCCAGTCACTCTTTGAAGGGTGTTGCTGCTTCAAATCTTTAGCCGTGGTCGGAGAGCAGATCGCCTATTCTCCAAAGAGAACATCAGGGATCCCTGGAAACAACTATCACGGTGGTGCACAGGTGGGACTCCAAGGGCAGCGTGATGACCTGCAGTCTCTCAAAATAACCCCAAACCCAAAACATGCATTTAAGTCCGGCAATGCCTTCAACTTAACTTCACTGTTTTATTAGGCACAGTTTAAAGTCACAAAAGTAAATAATGAGGCAAAAGGAAACCAAAACAAACCGCACTGACGAGAGTTCCGAAGCAAACCAAGATAATTACTCATACATTCCAGGAAGATAACGGGGAGAGTCCATGGGAAGAACGCCAACAAAGATAAACCTCTTTCAAAGGAAACACTAAACTTTGACTCCAGCAATCCTGACTGCGCAGTTACAAACTTCTATACATGGCTCCCAGCTGCAAGCCACGAGGAGGATCATGATAATCTCCTCCTGAGTAGACCTCGCTTTTCCCTGATCCTCTCCTCCCTGCGTGACCCAGGACGGAGAGGGGATGGGCCTGGATCCTCTTCTGATTGCTCAGCCGGCCTCTGCCCTTCCCCAGCTCTGGAGCCACACTCCCACTCCCTGTTGGCTGTTCCTCCTCTTCCTCAGATTCCGTCTCCACCAGGGGCAGGACAGGCCATTTCTTCCCTACACTGCAGTGGCTGAAGCCCAACGGAGAGCAGAGAGTGACTGACTGGGGGGATTAAGTTCTCAATGGCAACCTTGTTTTGAAAACGAGGCTCACTTGTGTCTCCTGACAAGACCGCTGTCCTCCTGAGATGGGCTTTTCTGCTAGAGCGACGTCCTGGGCGGGGCCAGGGCACCCTAGGGGCGGGACCGCGTTGGGCGAGGCCCTCTTCTCCCCCTCTGCAGAGAAAGCCCTCCGGCCTGACTGCCTGTGGAAAGACCTGGGAAGCAGAGCAGTGCTCAGGTGAGGCCAAGGGCTGCTGGGTGTCCGTCTCAACTTAGGTTGTGCTTGGGCACAGAGCCAGGGCTCCTCTTCTCCTTTACATTACAACAACGGTGTGGTCCAGCCTCTTGAAGAATGCAGCGACAGAGACAACAAAGTAGAAAACTGTTGCTACATTATAAAAAGAAACAAGAGAAACTAAAAATAGCCAAGTCCTAAATAAACCTGAAACTGCACAAGGAACAAACTGAAATATCTCCAAAATAAAAGTATCAAAAAACTCGAGCGACTGTTACAGAAAATAGCACCAAATGGTTCCTTCTTCTTCCTTCTGTTCAATTGTGCCGGATTCTTGGAGGCTGCCAGAAGAAGTCCCTGCGTTTTCCTTGGCCAGGTTTTTCAGAAGCGGATTGTCCTCCTTATCGCCTGTCCTTCTGAGTGCTGAGGGAGCGCGATTGGCCCAAGGTCACCTGGCGAGCTTCCCACCCAAGGCAGGACTAGAACTCAGGCTCTCCCGACTGAGGCCTGTTGCCTTCAGCAATAAACCAAAGTGGCTCTTTTAAAAAGGTATTTAAACATCCATAAAATCAAATTAAATAAGAACACGAAAGCCAGAACTCAGAACTAAAGTTATTTTCTACTGGTAGAAAGATACCAATAGTAAGATATTAATCGCAGAAAACTGGGAGAAAACGAGGGGTGTCTCTATGAATAAAGAACAAGAATGAGTAAAACGAGCGTTCCCCACAGAGGAAGGGGTTACCATCACACAGGACACCCCCCAATCTTCAGTTTACTACTGAGGGGGAATTGCTTCTAGAAAAGCCATCCTTAACCCTAAGGGTACTTCTCATTGTGTGAAAAAGTATTTGGTCCTTCTGGTTTACTGAAGTTTTGCATGTTTGCAGCTGTATATAATCAGAGTTTCCTGTGGGTCCTGTTGAAATACATAAAAAGTTGAGGGACCATACAGAAACAAAGCACGGAGCCAGTTCCATTTATTTTGTAAGCACAGCTATCCAGCATGTGACACGTGAAGGGTGCAAAAGGGTTTGATTTTAGTTGCCAGTAAACGATGCTTGGTGACTCAGCGATTAGAATGCAGCATTGCAGGATGACTCTGCCCACTGCCAGCAGTGCCATCCTACCCAGCTCAAGGTTGACTCAGCCTTCCATCCATCTGAGGTTGGTAAAATGAGGACCAGAGGGTTGCGGGCAAGAGGCTGACTCTGTAAAACCACTCAAGAGAGGGCTGTAAAGCACTGTAAAGTGGCATATAAGTCTAAGTGCTATTGTTAGTGTTATTTCATGCAATAATCAATTGTCACTCCTATCACTGAATAGGAATTTGGCCTGCAGAGAGCCAATATTGGAGAGTTTTTGAAGATCAACTCTTCTTCCAGATCTATCACCATATATGTATGAACTTTGGGTTTTGGCTTGGCTGTCCCAAAACACTTGAATCTGTTCTATGTTGAGTCTCTTGCAGACTCAATGATATTTCTTGCAGATACTCCTGTGCCCCATTGTTCCTATTTTGCTGTTGCTTGCAGCCAGTCCGTGTGATCTATTTGCAGCAGTTAAACGTTGTTTCTTTAGCTTCTTTGCAGAAAAAACCATCTGTTGCTGTCTTCTCAATTCTGGATTTGTAAGCCTTTATGCTTATGGCTTGGTCTTTACTCCCGCTGTCTCTTTCTTCAACTTTCTGCTTTTAGCCATTAGTAGATTTTGTTGTTATCTGCTTTGCCTGCTAGTTGTTGCTGTGGTTGTAAGATTTTGCCTTGCTGTGTTTCTTTTCTAGTCTTCATTTGGTCTTTCCTGTTGGTCTCTCCAGTACTCAGGAAGCCCTCAAGGGGTACTGGCTTAAGTGCATTTCCTTCAGATATCATTATTTCACCTGCTTCTTCAACTGTCTGGTGTCCCTGCAACCGTCCACACCCACCTCTGCTCCTTCATTAGAAGAGTCAGTCAATGTTGCTGAGCGGATGGTTTTTCTGATCCAGGCCTTTGAGTTTTGCTTAAGTCCTGTCAGCTATTCCAGCTGTGTATCTAATGACCAAAACTGTCCAGGTGTTAATTGCCTTGATGATATTTCCTGCACTGAGCTTTAAGTCCTTCACTCTCCTTGTCTATTCATTTCTCACTTTCTTCTTGAATTCAGTGACTGAGCTTGCAGGATGCTGAGGTATTTGTAGCAATTGTTTTCATTCAGACTTTTGATGCTATTTCCACAGGGTATTTTGATTCCTTCATTTTTTACTATTTTTCCTCCTGTTGATGGTAAGATGGCACATTTGCCCAGCCCAAACTCCACTGAGATATCTTGGCGGTATATATTCGGACAGTGATGATCGGGGATTTGGTGCTTTTCTATACAGCTTCAGATTGTCCAGCTAAAAAGAAGGTGGGATGGCCTGTCAGATGGTTTTGATATTGATAGCCATGGCCTGACTTGTTCAGTGTTCAGTGTAATATGGAGCACTGGCATTCTTCCTAGTGCGCAATGGTTTTCAGCGTGATGTGATCCCATGAATCCCATTCTTATCCAGTACATTTCTCATGGTAGAATTATGAAGGCCGATTTTAGTCAAGGAGAGGCCCTCAGATCTCTGGATGTTGTTCAGGGTTGTTGTTGTTTTAAGGTTTCCTGATACAGTGATGTGACCAAGTATGTCGTGCCTCTCAAATCTGTGTAGTGAGAACTTCACTGTGGTGAAGTTCGTTTTATAAGCTGGGTTTGGCGCAAAGTAGCATGTCTATTCAATGAAACAACTGGCCCCAGTTATCCTTTTAATTAGATTAAGGACAGGAGGGCAGTTGCATTCCCTCACTGGCTCAGGCAAAAATTCGGACAATCTGCCAGGAGGCCAATACTTTTCCACAACCAGAGTTATTCTAACAACCGGCCTCTGGCTTTGAGGATGTCATAGAAGAAATGGAAAGAACCCCGGGAGCAGATACGATGGGCTGCCCAGAGGGAAGACCCCTTTCCTTTTAAAGGTCTCTCATACCTTAGAGTGGAGGGTGCCGTATCTCCTGCTGGCGTCTTCCAGTTTGCTCTCCACTAATGTCCTGGTGGCCGATATCTCAGGGCACAGCTCCCCTCCTCTTGCAGCAGCCACAGCCGTCTCAGCATCCAACACTTTCTGCCCCGACATCGTGACAAAACGCAAGTCCCCCTTGTGGGAAATCACGTCTTCGGAGAAGCTGCTCTGCTGGAGGAGCACCGGCTGAAGGGACTCCAGACTGCCGTCCCCTGCACACATCTTCTCCAAGTCTTGCTCGGCCTGTTCCAGCCAGGCGGCAAACTCTTGGTGGTCCCGCAAAAACTTCTGCAGCTCATCGCGGAGCGCCTGCACTTGTTTGAGCTGCCCCTCTGTCTGAGACAAGGAAGCAGCATACTGGTCCTTCAGCTCTCCCAGCCTTCTTTGCAGATCCTGCTTCTCCTCCAGGGTAAGATTGTGGTTGTGTCTGTCCAGGAAACCCTGGGCTGACTGTGTGGCCAGAATGACATCTTGTTGGTGGGAAAGGAGCTCTTGGTGATGGACCTGGAAGGAAAACATTAAAAGAAAACTACATTAAAAGTATATCAAGCCAGACTACCAATGGAAAATTCAAGGCCAGACCCTGCAGGCCAGGAAGAGGAATCTCTGGCTGTTGTCCCAGGCTTGACTCGCTCCTTCCCAACAGAGGGAGCCCAAGATGGTTTTAGTTATAGACTTGTCATATAAATATCCGCAGGGATGCATCCGTGGCTGCTTCCAAACAGCATGGAATGCCTCCTAGTGGAGTGCGATACAAACAAACAGTGGATTCACTGACGGAAAGGGGACCCTTGATTGCCCCACTGACCCACTTGGAGGTAAGCCTCACAACCCCCTCAGCAAGTAGACGGCCTGGAGTTGGAGCATTCCCAAAACTATCCACCAATCCAGACAACGGCAGCAATTTGACCTGTGTTAAAGAATGAACTGAAAGCCAAGGATGGCCACTATATGACACGGGTGAGATGGGACCCTGCCTCTCAGCCTTGAGCTGGAGTAATGGTGATGCTGCAGTTGATCCATTATTCTCAGAGAAACTCCCAGGCCAGTTAATAGGGATGAAGAAGGATGCTTTGAGGATGCTCTGGAACAGAATGTCCAGTTCTGGGACTCTCACAGAACCTAAAGATTTACATTCATTTCCAGAAAAGAGCTAGGATGCCCTTAGGATTAGAGCCAAGGCACCCAAAATCTACACAGACTGGGTAAAAGAGTCTGCGAAACAGTGCTAAAAACGAAATGACACAAATAGATTCATAGCTGAGCCAGGACGTTACTCAGCAAATAGATGCACCAACCTTCAAACTCGTGTAGTGCAAATCAAGATTCTCTTCAACCATTTCCAACAAATGGTCATCAAGGGCACCTTGGACTCTTCCGCCTCCACGGCTTCCACCATCTTTTCCCACTGGCCACAATTTACCTTCTGGGGCCCCTCTAGACTTCTTCACCGATGCCACCCAATGTAGAAGGGATTCAATCTTATTCTGATTTTCTTCAAAGTCTTTAATCACTCTAACCTGGGGTCAAATTTTTGAGAAAAGACAACAAAATAGCAAAATTCCATGGATGTTAATAATCTGTTGCGGCTGGAGTGGGCTGCTTTGAACAGGCTGGGCAGCAAGGATAAGGCAGGAATCCCTTCCTTGGACACCTCCCATAGCCGTTTTGACAGACTCTGCAACGAGCAACTTACATGTATTTATATAATCCAATCTCCTCTTAAAATGTGGTGACTGAACCAGATGTAGAGGTGGAGGAGAGACCATCCAGTCCAATCTCCTACTCAGTGCAGAACCCACCATGGCCTCTCTAACAGGGGATCCTCTGGCAATAAAAGAGCTGAAATTACCCAGCCCTTAGTACTGTCCTACCTTTTCTGTCTGTTGTTGCACCACAGAGCTCACAGCACTTTCAAGCTCCTTCTGGGCGGCCTCCAGCCTTTCCTGCAGAGACAGATACTGGCCCTGAGCCTGGTGGAGCTTTTCTTGCAGGGATTCCAGCTCTCCAAGGGGCAGTTTGATTCTGTTCTCCTCCAGAAAGTCCTCTGTCGCCTTCAAGATGCTCGTGAAGGAAGCAGTCCGGCTGTGCAGACTCCGACACAAGTCCTGGAGAACAACAAGCGAACCCTTCTGCAAATGTTTAGGAATTGACTTTCAAGGCTGGCATTGCAACTCTCTTCCAATCACCTTTTCCAACATATTCAGTCAAAGAAGATCTCTCGAGCCACCCATTAAAAACTTATCAAAACTTACCATTACTTTTACATTTTGATTTTATTCATTTATTCAACCCACCAAGCAGACTAGACCAGAAAATCAACTTCCCAGGAAGGCGAAACTTACTTTTATTGAGATTGGCTACAATAACCAAATCTTGCAGCTCTGACTGAGCCGTATCTCCTTCTCCTTCTTACCCTCCTGTGAATCAGGGAGGCCCCTGCCTAAGCCTCTTCCGCATATTGTCCTGTAGTTCTGGGTTTGAAAAATCCTTCAGCCCCTTTTGCCTAACGAACGGTCCCTGCGTATCTCCACTCGTCTTCCTGGCTCTCTAAAACAGCATTGGCCAACCTTGGCAACTTCAGCTGCTGGCTGGGGAGTTCTGGGAGATGAAGTGGCCCATCTTGAAGTTGCCAAGATTGACAAATGCTGCTGAAAGCCTTGATGGTCGCCTCATGGAGAGCGGGAGAGGGAAGCTGGGGTGTGGCACAGAAGTTCTCCCACCAGGCCCCACGGAAAGGTCCCGTCTTCCACCCAGGGTCTTCCGGGCGGCCTCCTACTTACGGCCACATCTTTCTGGCTTTGCTCCAGGACAGAGAGGTCTTCTCCCGATGCCCCTGTGGTGGCTGCTTGAGAACCCTGCAGCCGGTCCTCTGCCTGAGCCATCCAGGTGCACATCTCCTGCAGCTTGTGGTCTCGTATGGCTTGTTGTTCTTGCAGCGTCTACATGGCAAGAGGGAGTTTTTAACAATGAAGCAGGAATTTGTTAAGCTTATCAGTTAAACAAGTAGAAAACAAATAAGGCCAGAGAAAATGTAAAACAGAGAAACAGAAGCTGCTGGAGGACAGGATGCACCGTCTGTCCCTCCCTCTCTCTCTCTCGCTCACCTGCACCTTTCCTCTTCCATGCCAGCGTTACAAGTGTGGCTCAACTCACACTGTGGGAGGGGTGGGGGGAAGAAATGGAAGGAGCCAATCGGGTGTTTGTCACCAGCCTAAGGAAATACCCCAGTCAATTTTTGTTTGCCGTCTTGAAGGGGGGGGGGGAAAGGGCCATCTACAATGACTTAGCACGACTGCAGTGACCTACAGGAGGTCATTGTATGTGCATGTTTGGGTATGTGAAGGAGAGCAAGAGAGAGAAAGGTTCCACACAAACAGACGTCTTTTGGCCAGCCTTCCCCAACCGGTGGTCTCCAGGGGTGTTGGACTTCCATTCAGACCATCCAGGTGGGCTGGAGATGGTAGGAGTGGAGGTCTGGCACCCTTGGAGGGTGCTGGGTTGGGGGAGGCTGCTCTGGGCACAGAGTAACTTTCAGGTGATTGAGCATGATGTGTGTGACCCTGGACCCTCCTTCTGTCAATGCTCGGCCCCTTCTGATCCGTGGGCCAAGTGAGTCGTCCTGCTTTCTCTGGCAGTCTTAAGCCAAAGAGCAGAAGCAGTTGGAGAAAGGGAGTAAGGGAAGCTCTCCTCAAAAGTGCCCTCCGGCAGTGTACGGAGATCTTCTGCATTAGGGATGGGGCACATTCAATCTGAAAAGGCAAAGCACATTGGTTAATACACACAGAGACAAGAGGCAGAACGCACAGTGGGACAGAGACCACTGTTAAAACAAAAAAACCCTTCCCTCCTGAGCAGGGGAGGCGGGCAGAGGGCGGGTGAGCAGCAGGAACAGGATTGTGCCCAGAAGCGTGGAGGAAGGGGGGCAGCCCAAGGGGAAGGCGTCAAGGCCCGAGGAGGCTGGGCTGAAACCCAGAAGCTCCTTTGGGGACAAAAGTAGAGCCGGAAAGACGTTTTGATCAGGGCCACTGCGTTTGAGCGGGGAAAGATTCCTTCTCCCCTCTCCAACCACAGCCTTTGCAAATGTTACCTTCTCCCTCGGATGGGAATGAAATTCCCCCCATATTCCATGCACACACGCACACACACACACACACACTTAATTAAAAAACCTAGCCATCCCTGCCCCGCTTCTCTCTAGCAAGGAGAGGAACCCAGTCAACTGTGCCCCCACCGAAACAGGGATGTTGGTTGAAGATTTTGTGCTGCTATATTTTTTTTTATAGAGAATCATGATAAAGTTAGGCAATTTGAGCATTGGAATTAAAATTTTCAGAAAACTTCTGAGGATGCATCCTCCTTTAAAAGAAAAAAATAGTTATTTCCATATTTTCCTAAAACAGAAGCAGTATTGTGTAAGAATAGCTACACTGCTGAGTTAATTTTAAATATTTACAGATATTTCAATAAAGTATTTTCTAGTTTATTTGGAAGTTTGTATCTAAGCAATAATTGCACTACAATCATTTAGTGAATTTTGGTGCACTAAATTTTAAATTATTTCGGTGCATAAATTTTTCAGTTAGAGAAAATTCAAGATGTGCATTTGGAGCAAAATCCAACACTTTTAACCGGAAGAATAGAATAGAATTTATATAGAAGTCTTCTCCAACGATCTGCTCTCAAAATCCATAAAGAGCCCACCAACCTGAAAGGTTTGGGGACACCTAACGTAGGACGGCTACCTTTAAGGATGGTTTTATACGTAGTTTTTTCATATGTAATAAATTAGAGGAGCTCGTGCTAATGTACATTATGAACAATTTCCAGGGCATCTGAGTGACAGCCCAGAATAATAGAATAATAATGGAATTGGAAGATCTTCTAGTCCAGGGCTGTCAAACTTGATTTCATGGAGGGCCACATCAGGGGGTGTTGACTTTGGGGGTGGGGGGGGGGGCAAGGCATGGCCTGGTCAGTTCGACATCAGGTTCCCCCTACAATGGCCTCCTGCAGACTTCTGCCAGTGACCACGGCGCTTGGGGGACCGTGTGTGCCCCCCACCCCCGAGTCCCGTTTTTGCTGGCAGAGGCACCGTGGGCTGCTCCTTTGCTGTTTCTGGGGGCACCCCGGGGGCCAGATCTAAGCACCGCACAGGCATCCCTGGGCTTGATACCCCTGTCCTAGTCCAACCCCTGCTCAGGCAGGAGACCCTCTCCCATTTCAGACATTCAGAATGGGTGTCCATCTCAGGCTATTCAGACATTCAGACAAAATGAAATGGGAGACAGGTTTATTTGTGTGTGTTTGAAAGCTAACCAAAATGAAAGCAAGGGGAAGTCACAGCCTTCATGTAAATTTGGGGGGGGGGGGAGTGGGGGGCTGGGAGAAATTGTGATAGCCCCCAAAGAAGTACAAAACTTAGCGGATTGTCTCCAGAGCTGGTTTTCATCTGTTGATTCCAAACCGTTCAGATTGGCAGCATTACAACAGAGAGAATCGATTTTAGTTCCTTTACACGCTTGAACTGGGGATGGCCCTGTCCTCCATCTGTCCTCGCCACAGGCCCCCATGAGAGGGCTAAAGTTTCAGAAAAGCTCCCATGTCCTTTTTTGACAGGTAAGAAATTCAGGGAGAAAGTGTCCCAAAGAACGGGGCCACCACTGAGCAGGGTCGTCACCTCCTCTGCACCCAGGAACCTGATGATAAAGAGGTGCCCTCAAAGCACTTCTAGGCCAGTCCAGACTGATGGGTGGGTTTTGTTCCTGGGTACAGAATAACAGAGTAACTGATTTGGAAGGGACCTGGGGAGGTTTTCCAGTCCAGCCCCCTGCTCAAGCAGGAGACCCCACACCATTCTGGGCAAAGGACTGTCTAGCCTCTCCTTAAAACCTCCAGTGATGGAGAACCCACAACTTCTGTTCCGCTGGTTGATCCCTCTCACTGTTGGGAAATTTCTCCTAAATTCTAGGTTGCTTCTCTCCCTTCGTAAGTTTCCATCTGTTGCCTCTTATCCTGCCTTCTGGGGCTTTGGAGAATAGGTCAGGCCCCTCTTCTTTGTGGCAGCCCCTCAGGTATTGGAACTATCATGCCCTTCTTTTCACTAGACTAGACATACCCAATTCCTTCTTCACCTCCGTTCTGCGTATGTTTTAATCGCCAGTCTCTTGATCACCTTTGTTGTTCTTCTCTGCATTCTTTCTAGGGTCTCCACATTGGTTTTGCGTTGTGGTGAGCAGAGCTGTAAGCAGTATTCCAAGTGTGGTCTCACCAAGGCAACATAAAGTGGTATTAACACTTCTCGTGATCTTGATGCTCTTGCGCTGTTGATTTTTGCCTAGAACGGCACTGGCCTTTTGCAAAGACCCTGGCTAACCTTGGGATCAGGCTCCCCCTGTTGTGGCCTCTCTTGCCTGCCTGCCTGCCTCTCCTCGCAGCCCTCTAGACATTCTGCTCGTCTTCCTTGCCCAAGACTGTTCCATCCACCAGCACTTCTGGATCAGCCGTTCTGAACTCATTCAATGCTCTGCTCTGCTCCTCTTTGTCAAGAGTAAAAGCCACACATGCACACACAACCACAACCACACTGCTCCCTATCAAGGACAAGGCAGCCCAGAAGAAGGAAGTCCACCCCGTCATCTCCTCCATCAGCTCTACTGGCTGGAGACAGACCTGCAGGACCTCAGTGTGGGGGGTCACTCTCTCCAACAGCTCCCGAAAAGACCTCTGCAGGTCGTTCAGCAGCCGCAGCAACTGCCCGCTTTGCTCGGGGCTCAAGTCTTGCACGTGCTCAGAAATGAAGAACTGGGTATTCGAGGCCGTCTCATCAAGTTGACTTTTAGTCTCTGTCAGGGGCTTTGTCAGTTCCTGGCCATATCAAGAGAACACAAAGAGAAACTGTTAGCAAGGCAAATTATTCGGGGGCTGGGCAGAAATTACTCAACTGGAAGAAACCACATCACCGCATCATCTTAGGTTTGGTTTATTGGATTTCTTTTTGCTCTGAAAGTCAGCTTCCGTTGCGTTCTTTCTCTGGCCAGAAACAAACCAACATCCCTGGTCTGTTGGACTCTCAAGAGTTTGTTTCCTCTGAAATAATCAAGGCAGTGCATATCACAAGGCGGGGTCTTTCAGTGACCTCATCCAGAGCTCAATTACATCAGTTAGGATACATATATAACATGAATTAGCCGTGCCTCTTTCAGAGCACCACCATATCTGCAAGTGCACTGGAGATGTTTTTCCTGCCATATAAGGCTAAACATTTTAACGGCACAGTCCTGTATTCAAACCATATTTTGGTTGTAGCTAATTAAAAGTAACGTCTTACAGCTTTCAATCCTTTCTCTGCCATCAAGAGAAAGAAAAAGGATCAGCAGCCCTTAATAAAATGGGGTCCAGTGCTAGTCTCTTTTCTCCAAAGGAAACAAAGCCCCAACCTGCTTTTCACAGTTCAAGGAAGGAAGCCACGTCTAACAGGATTTGGCTGAAACGGGGCTCCCTCTTTTCATGAAAGTTGTATCGTAAATGTCTCTGTCTCGGGAGGAAGGGAACAAATCCAGCATCTGGGGTCAAACTCTAGAAAGGAAACTCTTTCGCAGAACTCGTCATCATAGATCAGTGGTGTCAAACTCGTGATGACGTGACGTATCGCAACTTTCCTCCCCTTTGCTAAAATGGAGGGGGGGGGGGCAACACATGACGCATCGCCCTGAGTTTCACGGCCTTGCCATAGATGGTTACAACCCCCCAAAATCACTGCAGATTATAATGGGTCCTGGTTCAAAGCAGTATTAATAAAGGTAAACACACGGGTGGTAAGTTGCTAGCCCTCATTTGCCCATCCCTCACCTCCTCCCACTGACGGGCCAAAAGCCCCACTTGCCAGGAGTGGGGAGAGGTTCATCCAAGGGAGTGGACAGAACTGGGCGAGTCCAAGTGT